CACACACACACACACACACACACACACACACACACACACACACACACACACACACACACACACACACACACACACACACACACACACAAACGCAAACGCAAACGCAAACGCAAACGCAAACGCAAACGCAAACACACACACAAACACAAGCGCAACCACCAACCAGCACAAGCGCAATAACAAATACAATTACACACAAATGCACACACACACACACGCAAATCCAAGCACAAACACGAGCATACACAATCACACACATCGACAAACGCAAGCACCCGCACAAACACAAGCACACATACACACACACCAAGACAAGCACAAACGAAACCGCACATACAAACGCAAACACAAACACACACACACAGACACGCAGAGACGTAGCGATGGGCCCCCGACAACGGATCCGTCCGCTCCTGTGCGGGGTAGGTCGGGCCCCTGTCGGCGATCACTGCCTCTAACCCCCTAGCGTTGCCCCCGCCAACCCTCCTGGAGGCACGGCGACAGATACATTCCGCCTCCGACCGCCCGCGCCCGCGCGCTGCCCAGCGGCCCGACGTTTCCGCGGGCAGACCACAGCACCGAGACGCCCCCCGCTTCCAGAACGCCTGGTAGGCCCGAGCAGGACCGGATCGTGACATCGGATCAGATCCGGCACGGATAGGATCGCCAACGGATCGGCTCGAAATCTGATCGCCGCTCCAAGCTCGGACTGGCTCCTGCTGATGCCGGTGAAGCAGGCCAAATCGAGTCGGATGGGAGTCGCGGGCCCAGCCCGCGAATCAAATCGCATCGAATCAGATCGTAGGCGGCCCTGTCTGGGCGAACACCCAACTCTGAGGGCACCAACACGATAAGGCTGGCGAGAGCCCGCGAAGTCCAGAATGGACCACCAGGCCCCTCCTGGAGAACGCTGTTTGCACCAATCATCTCGTGGCAGATCCAGCCGTGGCGACAAAATTATCCACTTTTTTGGGGAAGGCCCGGACGGAGGCACAGAAAACTTTGATTCCGTATCGCTGGGAAGCGGCCCCCCGACCTCTTCCGCCCAGGCGGCGTCCAGCCGTGTCCACGTTCGCCCCCCCTCGGAGCCCCCCCCTACCCCAAGTGCACAACACTTCAAACCCCACCCCCCCGTCGTCATCGTCGCCGTCGCCGTCGTCGCCGTCGCCGTCGTTGCAGACGTCGTCGCCGTGGTCGTGGTCGTGGTCGTGGTCGTGGTCGTGGTCGTGGTCGTCGTCGTCGTCGTCGTCGTCGTCGTCGTCTGGGTCGTGGTCGTGGTCGTCGTCGCTCGTCCGTCGGCTGTCCGCCGGCGTCGTCGCCTACGCTGCGGACGCCCCCCTCGCGAGAGAGGGCGCCACCGGGCCGACGGACGCCGCGCGGCGCCGCGAGGCGGTTCGCGGTGCCTCACTCCGTGTCCTGGCGGGCGGGCGGCAGGCTCCTCCGCCCTCCTGCCCTCTTGGGGCCCCCCCTCCTGCCCTCCTCCCTCCTCTCCCTCCTCCGCCCTCCTCCGCCCTCCTCCTGCGTCCCCTGCCCCTCCTCCACCCTCCCTCCCTGCCTCCCTCGCTCCCCTCCCTCCACCTACACCTTCCGCCCACCCTCCGCTCCCCTCCCTCCGCTCCTTCCCCTCCCTCCGCTCCTTCCCCTCCCTCCCTCTCCCTCCCTTCCTTCCCTCCCCCTCCCTCCCTCCTTCCCCCCTCCACAATTACACAATATGAATACGACGCTCCTCTCTCACCTGGTGACGTCCGGGAAATGACCAGCCCCCCTCCACGTATTGGTTTTTTTATGCACAAGATTCCTGGGAAACGGGTTTGTCGCTTGGGCTTTTTTGTCAAAATGCGGCTCTCGCTGAAGCGCTGGCTTCATTTTCGGGCCACCGCTCGTTCCGAATCGTGCTCCCGCTGCAGCGCTGGCTTTATTTCCGCGCTTCTGCTCGTTCCGAATCATGCTCCCGCTGCAGCGCTGGCGTCATCATTTCCAGTGCCATGCCACGGCATGGTTTTCTGTCCTTCCAAAATAGGCTCCAACATCTAGAATATGGTCCCCCGAAAAAGCCATCGGAAGGATTCCACATTCGGTGTCGATTCGTTGATTCTTTGGATCGAAGACGGCCCCCGCACTTTGGCGCGTCGCCACGCCATGCTATGTCAGGCTCCGCGTCCTCCGAATCGTGCTCCCGCTGCAACGCTGGCCTCATTTCCGCGCTTCCGCTCGTTTCGACTCGTGCTCCCGCTGCAGCGCTGGCGTCATTATTTCCAGTGCCATGCCATGCGCCTCCGCCTTGTCTTGGAGGCTCATCGCCGAGGCCTCCGACGCCTGCAAGGCCTGCAGGTTGAGGATATGCATCGGCGCCGGCCCCGAACATAGGTGGCACTCCGCCCTGAAGCCAAAATTCACGTGACTGCAGCTCTGGTCCTGGCACTTCCGCTTTTGGATCCAAAACTTGTCCCACCTGCCAGGCGGCGGAGACATGACCTGGTCCTGCGTACCCTTGCGGTGGACCTTGTACTCGATCCAGACACCCTTCGCCAGCCGCCGCCTCCGCGGTGGTGTCCGTGGGCGCTTTCCAGAGCCCCGACCCGTGTACTCCCTCCGAGCCTCGAAGGTGTACGCGTTCGCCGAACCCCTCCGATTGATCAGCGTGTCCATGATACCGTAGCCAGGCCGAGGCCCTGTAGTCGTCTCGTAAACGACGTCGCCGACGGCCTCCGCTGTGAAGCCGCTCGCGAAGCTCTTCAGCCTCTCGCCGAACTGCTCCGACAGCAAGCTCGCGCCAATGTGAAGTTGAAGCATCAGCACTCCGCCATGGCTCGCCTCCGCTGCGCCGTCCTGAAGTGCGCGGAAGCAAACCCAGCCAATGGGCCAGGGCGGCTTGAACCAAAATGGCTACGGAGGAGGAGGAGGAGGAGCATGAGGAGGAGGAGGAGGAGGCGGAGGAGGAGGAGGAGGAGGAGGAGGAGGAGGAGGAGGAGGACGACCCAAGGCGGACGTGGCTGCGTGGCCCGCCTGCTCGTCTTCTGTGCAGTCCGTGCCGGCCTCGGTGGAGTCCTTGGCGGGGCAGGGTCGGGTTGGTGCTTCGACAGTCCGAGTCCTCGCCATTCAAGAAGCGGTCTTGAGGGCAAGGGGTCCACGGGCCCTCCTTGGGCCCTGTGGCTGTCAGAGAGCGGCTCAAAATGAAGAACTGGTGCTTGGAAAAGCCCTGGGGAACAAGACCCGTTTTCCTCAGGAGCCAACTCTTCCGTCCCAAGACAATCTGAGTTCGCTCGGCTGACATTCGAGAAAACTAGCATTCCCTCTGGATGGCCAAGAGCATATAGCGTTGAGTCATGCGGGGGCCCAGGGAGCGCTCAAGGCACACAGGCCACCATACACTTCGCGGAGCAGGGGAGACGGATGAGAAGGAAGATGAAGGCGGGGAAAGGAGAAGAAGGAGGAGGGGGAGGAGGAGGAGGGGGAGGAGGAGGAGGAGGAGGAGGAGAATGATGAGGAGGAGGATGAGGAGGTGGAGCAAGAGGGCGGATGAGGAGGGCGGAAGAGGGCGGAGGAGGGATGATGATGATGCTGCTGATGATGACGATGATGATGGGACTTATTAGTACTATTATGATGATGCTGCTGCTGACGCTGCTGCTGCTGCTGCTGATGATGATGATGCTGGTGCTGATGCTGGTGATGATGATGCTGATGATGCTACTGATGGTGGTGACGCTGCTGTTGATGATGAAGATGATGATGCTGACGATGCTGATGATGAGGATGATGATGGTGGTGATGATGATGCTGATGTTGATGATGATGCTGATGAAACTGATGAGGATGATGAGGATGATGAGGATGATGATGATGATGATGAGGCTGCTGCTGCTGCTGCTGATGATGATGATGCTGATGCTGATGCTGATGCTGATGATGATGATGATGATGATGATGATGATGATGATGATGATGGGAGGGGAGAAGGAGTAGGAGGAGGAGGAGGAGGAGGAGGAGGAGGAGGATGAGGAGGAGGAGCAGGAGGAGGAGAAGGGGAAGAGGGAGGAGGAGGAGGAGAATGAGCAAGAGGGCGGATGAGGAGGGCGGATGAGGGCGGAGGAGGGATGATGATGACGATGACGATGACGATGACGATGACGATGACGATGACGATGATGATGATGATGATGATGATGATGATGATGATGATGATGATGATGATGATGATGCCCATGATGATGATGATGATGATGATGATGATGATGATGATGATGATGATGATGATGATGATGATGATGATGACCATGATGATGGTGGTGGTGATGCTGATGATGATGCTGCTGCTGCTGATGATGATGCTGATGCTGATGTTGAGGAGGAAGAGGAGGAGGAGGAGGAACAAGAGGCGGAGGAGGAAGATAATGAGGAGGAGGAGGCGGAGGATGAGGAGGAGAGGGCGGAGGCGGAGGGCGGAGGAGAAGGAGGAGGAGGACCAGTGTAAGTAAACCCAAGGTTCACCAATAATGCTGGAATAAAGCCTCCCTCCGAGCACTCCTTCTTCGTAGGCCCCTTACGACGGTTCAATTCCACAGAGGGAACTGCCTCGGTGCAAGACAACCGATTGAAGACCCAGAAACATGCCAAAATATTGTTCTCGGAATTCCAACGCCACGGATCAACCTGATTGTTGCGTCTTGACGTTCCAGAATTGTGCCAGAAGTGGAACTTCAACGCCGCGAATCAACGTAACAATTGCACCCCCATAATCCTGAATCCTTCCAAAACGCCATTTCTGGTACGTTGATCATGGGACTCCGGGAAGATCCTGCACATGTTAGAAACGAATGTGCGCGGCGCTAAAGCGAGAACCACATTTTGAAAAAGGGTCGCCCTCAATCCGTGAAACTCTTGCAATTTTTGGAAACGAATGCGCGCGGCGCTAAGGCGAGAACCACATTTTGAAGACGGGTCATTCTCAATCCGTGAAAATCTTGCAACATTTTAATCGAAAGTGCGCGGCGCTAAGGCGAGAGCCACATTTTGGAAACGACCCGCCTTCCATCTGTGAAGCTGTTCCCACTTCTAAAAGCGAATATGCGCGGCGCCAAGGCGAAAGCCGCATTTTGAAAAAGACCCGCCCTCCAGCGGCGAAACTGTTTCTAATTTTCAAGCTTCAGGGCCAGAAATGATGTGGAAGTCGCAAGCGAAACGCCCGGGCCGCCCAAACAACTGGCCTCGGGGTGCGACAGGGAGAAATTAATTACCAGGAGTAGGAACGGAGGAGGAGGAGACGGAAGTCGACGAAGGAGGGGGGAGATGTTTTTCGCCATCGTTGGGCCTCTGAAGGGAGTGGGGGCCTCGTCGCCGCGGCCGGAGTCGCGGCGAGATCGTGACCAGCATGCGCTCCGAGACAGCCATGGGGGGGCAATCTGGACGAGAGGGGGGCGGAGGGAGGGGCACATGAAAGTGGAAAGCTGCCTCGGGTGAGCTGGCCGGCTCGAAGGCGAAGTGCACCCACAGCCGTAGCCGAAGCCCAAGTGCACAGGGGAATGGGAAGGGCCCCCCCCTGGCAGGTTTCGTCGGCAGCATGTCGTGGAGCGGTGCTGCAGCCTCCTCTGAGCACGTTTGAAGAAAGGATGGAGAGGAGGGGGGAAAAAGGAAGCGAAGCCAGCGCCCCCGCCCAGTAAATTACCCGACGACGTCGGCACGAACACCGCAGATCTGAACACCCCATGTCGAAGAGCGGCCCTGCGCTGCGCCGCGTTTGCGGGCGCTCGCGCGAGGTCAAGAGTCGGCTCTACGCAAGAACGACCCTGGGCAAGACTGACCATTGGTGCGCGGCTCGCTGGGGGCGCCGGTGGGGGGGCAAACCCAGGCAAGGAAACCGCTGCTATCGTATCGCATGTTGTGGGCCGTCCACACCCCATAGGCGGGAATTGGGGCTGTCTTCTTCGGGCTGCGCACTCCGCCCATCCCCGCCCGGAGGGGGTGCGCTGGGGGAGCTGGCCTGCCCTGTCCCAGTCGGGCTTGGGACAGCTCTGGCGATGATGGAGAAGCCATGGGAGCCCTGCCCCCTGGCCCTGCCCCTGCCCCGTCCCACCGCTGTGCTCGCCGCTGCTGTTCCCGGCCCCCCCCCCCCGTGCTCGCTGCGCCCTCGCCCCCTCGCGCCCTCGCGAGCGCCTCAGCCGTGACTGCGCCCGGGGGGGGCCTTCCGACCGCGGCGCTTGCGGCTGCGTCTCGTCCCCGGGCTCCGCATCACGGAGCCGCCACGGCGGCAGGGCAGGCGAAGGGAGGCGCTTGGGGGTGGGCACGGGCCAGGCGGAGAAGTCATGGACGCACGGAGCGAATCCAAGACGGCAGGGCCCATGGCGCAGGCAGGCGGTGGCGCTCTCGTAGCGATCCACTCGGACTTGGCCGTCGCCCGCGGCTGTTGTGACCACCCACCCGAAGCCCCTGCGCGGGCGGGCAGCAGCGCGGCGCCGAATTCTCTGCGGCCTGCAGACCGCCAGTTTGGAGAGAGCGTGATCCACCGCCGCTTTACTGTGGAAAATTGCCCCCCTCTTCCTCCCGAAAATCCCCCCCTGCTGAACCCCTCCCCCCCCCCCCCCCCCCCCTCCCCTCCCCCGGCTCCCCCCCCTCCCCGAACCCCTCCCCCCCCCTCCCCCTCGAAAACCGGGGGGGTCACTACCGGTTCGAAACCCCCCCCTCGAAAACCGGAGGGGGGTCACTACCGGTTCGAACCCCTCCCCACCCCCCCCCACTCACCGCCAGCAAACGACTCCCGGTCCCTACCACCGTCCGCACCACATCCCCCACTGTTGTTCCCAGCACCACTGTCCTCACCACCACTGTCCCCACTGGTTCCACCACCGTCCCTACTGTCCCCACCAGTGCCCCCACCACTGTCGCACTGTCCCCACTGTCCCCACCACTGTTCCCACCACGGTTCCACTCTCCCCACTTTCTCCACGGCCCCAACCACTGCCCGACTATCCCCACTGTCCCCACTGTCCCACTGACTCCTCCGCTGTCCCACTGAGCTGTCCCACTGTTCCCACCACTGTCCCCACTGTCCCCACCACTGTCCCCACTGTACCTCTGTCCCATTGTCCCACCGCCGTCCTCGCCACCGCCTTCACCACTGTCCCCACCACCACTGTACCCTCCACTGTCTCACTGTTTCCACCTCATTCCCACTGTCCCCACACCACTGTCCCCACTACAACCTTCCCCACCACTGTCCACTGTCCCCACTGTTCCCACCATTGTCCTCACCACTGTCCCCACCACTACCGTCCCCACCACTACTGTCCCACTGTCCCCACCACTGTCCCGCTGTCCCCTCACCACTGTCCCCACCACCACCGTCCCCACCACTGTCCGCACCCCCCCTCGTTTTTTTTGGGGGGGGTGGTGGTTCGAACCGGTAGTGACCCCCCCTGGTTTTCGAAGGGGGGGTTCGAACCAGTAATGGCCCCCCCCTTTTCATGATGAACTCGGGGGGGGGAGGGGTTCGATCCGGTAGTGACCCCCCCCGGTTTTCCAGAGGGGGGGGGGGAGCTGTTCGAACCGGTAGTGACCCCCCCCCGGTTTTCCGCCAGCAGCGGTAGAACACGCTCTTTCCCAGATTGTGATCCGACAAATGGTCTGCTGGTACTCCGACGAGCGGATTGCTCTGGCCTCATGCAGGTAATCCGACAAGCGGCTTGCTCTGGCCTCATCGGCGTTCGGCGCCGACGCGTCTGAGCGGCCTTGTCCGAGCTCAGGAGGAGGAGGAGGCAGGATGATGAGGACGAGGCAGGAGGAGGGAGGGAGGCAGGACGAGGAGGCGGAGGAGGAGGAGGAGGCAGGACAGCGGAGGGCCGCGGCGGGGAGGGCGGCCGCGACGGCCGCAGCGTGCAGTCGCGGCCAGCGCCCAGGAGCGCCACGGCCATCCACGCGTGGGCGAGCAGGGCCGGCACCAGTGCGCTACGCCCGCACGAGGAGCCCGCCATCCCCAGAGGCAGAGCCTTCCCGTCCGTGCAGGCCTGGCGGCTCGAGGCTTCGGTCCCCGCCTGCTCCTCTGGCCCACCTCTTCCTCCCTGCTACCGCCCCTCCAGAGCAGGGCGGGGCTCCTCGCTGTTTATCCGCCTGACGGGGTGCTCCCCGTGGTGGGGGACGAACTTCTGCACCTGAAGCGAGGGGGAGGGGATGCGGTGGAGTGGGGAGGGACACGGGGGAGGAGGATGAGGAGGATAAGACACACACACACAGGAGGGGGGATACGATGAGGCTAAGAGGGATGAGGAGGAGGGTGGCGATGAGGTGGAAGAGGGCAACGCTGAGGGGAAATGCAAGGAGGAGGGAGAGAAGGAGCAGGAGGAGGAGGAGGAGGAGGACCAGTGTAAAACCCAAGAGCCATCACCGATGTTGGAATAAACCCTCCCTCCGAGCTCCCTCTTCATAGGCCCCGACAACGGTTCATTTCCACTGGGGGAACTGCCTCGTTGGAAGACAACCGTTTGAAGACCCTGAAGCATGCCAAAACATACTCGGGACTCCAACACCACGGATCAACCTGACTGTTACGTCTTGACGGTCTGGAATCGTGCCAGAACGCCATTCCTGGGTCCTCAACACCCCGAACCACAGTGACTGTTGCACCCTCATAATCCTGAATCTTCCTAAAACACTATTTCCAATACGTTGATCATGGGAACCCTTGAAACTCTTGTAAAGTTAAAACATGTGCGCGGCGCCAAACCGAGAACCACCATTTGAAAAAGAACCACCCTCAACCGGTGAAACTCTGACACATGTTTAAAGAGAAGGTGCGCGGCGCAAAAGCGAGAACCACATTTTGAAAACGACCCGCGCTCAATCCGTGAAACACTTGCGAATGTTCAAAACGGGTGTGCGCGGCGTTTAGGCGAGAGCTACATTTTGAAAACCAGTCATTCTCCATCTGTGAAGCTCGTGCAACTTTTAAAGACGAATGTGTGCGGCGCTAAGGCGGGAACCACATTTTGAAAACGACCCGCCCTCCATCTGTGAAGCTTTTGATAATCTTTAAGCTTCAGGGTCATAAGCGGTGAGGAAATGTCAGGCGAAACGCTCAGCCCACCCTAAAAACTGGCCCCAGGGTGCGACAGAGAGAAATCATTTGTAAGGAGAAGGAATGGTGGATGAGGGGGACGAGGAGGACGAGAATAATGCGGCTGAGGATGCGAAAGCAGAAGAGGACGGGAACGGGGGGGGGGACCCTCCTCCTCCTCCTCCTCCACCTTCTCCTCCACCTCCTCCTCCTCCTCCCCCTCCTCCTCCTCCTCCTCCTCCCCCTCCTCCTCCCCCTCCGCCCCCTTCCCTCCTCCACGCTCCCCTTCCTCTCTCGTGGGGCCCGGAAGCGTAGAGTGGTGGTGGTGCGGGGGCATATGTGCACTTGTTGTCTTTGGGCTTCGTGGGTCGGTCTCTCGCCTCCCACTTCCTCCATCTCGCCCTGCTCGTCCTGCTCGCCTCCCTCTTACTGCTCGTCCTTCCCTCTTCCTCACTCTCCCTCGTGGGTCGATCCTGTTCGTCCTGCTCGCCTCCCTTCTCCTCCGTGCCCTTCTCCTCCTTGTGGGCGAAACTTGGCCCCTCCCCACACTTAGCGCGAGGGGAGGGAGGGCGAGGGTGAACCTGTGGTTCATCGTCGTCATCGTCCTCCTCCTTCTCCTCCTCCCTGTCATCCTCCCCCCTCGTGCTAATCAATACCCAGTACTGGCGCATCGTCAGACTTATGGGCACACGCACGTCTCTCTCTCTCTCTCTTTCTCTCCTTCTGTATGCATTCATATCGTCGTATGTTAGCCAACGTGGCCCCCGCACAATGAGTTACTCCACTGGATGTGAACGGAATGCGGAGTAAGCTATGGTGTACGACAACTATTAGTGTGAGCTATGGAAGTGAAGCCATGCGCTGCAGTGTACGTGGTGTAAGCAGTGCCGTGCAATATATGTGATGTGAGCTTGAGGCGCGGTCTGAGCTATGTGATGTAAGCTGTGTGGTTTG